CCCATCACATATTGTTGATAATTCAACAGCAATATCATAAATGATTTGTTGTTTGAGCATTTCCGCCACCTGTTTTTTTTAAATAGATTCTATGTGTTCAATCCAGGTGCCGGAATAAATGAATATACAAATATATTGAATCAGCTTTTAAGAGATGCTTTCGAAGAAGCAAGGCCGAACAAGTCAGAATTTGAAACTGTTCGTGGCTTCACACAATTTTTAATGGGAAATGTGAAAGATCCTTCAGAAGAAATTCCTGCCGATATGATAGCAAATAATAATGACGAAACAAAAGAAAATATTCCAGAAGTTATCCTTGAAGATGATGAAAGTATTTCAGATATTCATGAAGAAGAAGATATCCAAAAACAAGTCACTAATGATCCTGCAATATTAGTTGATGAAATAACTGAAATAAATATTAAACCAAAGCTCTTTTTTAATATGGAAAAACAAATGTCCAAAAAGGCCACAAAAGTTGATAAAAATTTAAGAAAACTTTGTCCTCATTTCCAACATCATGTAATATATCAATGGAATAACATAAAAGTGCGCTTATTTCAATCAAAGAAAAATCGTGAAAAAAAAGGTGGTTGTGTGACTATAACGCCATCAATGACGACCACAAAACGAAGGGTATATATTCATTTTGTGATTGTAATCGATGAATAGTTTATTTTAAACTTGATCATAAAGGTTTACTTAATGTACAACAAAAGTTTGCGTGAATCAATTTTTAGATAAAGTTGAACCATTAATACTGGTTTTTTAGCCAACTTAATTGTTATATATATAATCTTTGCAAAAGTGGTTAAATATATACATAAATTTTTGATCATTTTGACAATAAGTAACATTCATCGATTCAATCATTTAAGTTATTTTTCTAAGAATTTATCGACCGAAAATTAATTTTTATACTAATTTATCTTCTTTTTTTTTTTTAAAAGATAATATTTTTAGCAGCAGCATGGCGCAAGAGCACCGTAAATTTTATTCCTACAGAGATTAATCTAAGAGGCGTTATCGCAGATTTAGGAATTGATAACCACTTCCGTATTTTAGAAATGATTTTTATTACCGGTTCTTTAAACGAGAATGATAAAATTAATGACATAGATTTGTTTCTTAAGGGAGGTCATCGAATACTTAATGATAAAGAAAAACAGGTGGCGGAAATGCTCAAACAACAAATCATTTATGATATTGCTGTTGAATTATCAACAATATGTGATGGG